GAAAAGAATAAGCTTGTGCTGTTTACGTCTTTCCTCGAGGGGAAGCCAACCTGTTTCAGTATACAGTTTAATTCTACTTGTGAGTCTAGTGCTGCCAGTGACTATGCGTGCTGCTTCTAATTGAAGATTTTCTAATAATTCAGATTGGGCTTTAGTAAGGCAGTCCCATAAGATATCGCCATAGTCTAATATAGGTCGAATAAGAGTGTAGTACATAGTTTGGAGACTATACCTGTCCAAAGAGAATTTAAATTTGCGTAAGATGACAGTTGATTTATATCCGCTAAAAACATTGTATTGTTTATTGTTTAAGCTTGTTTTCATTAATTCTTATGAGATTAAATGTCTGAGAATAAATACAAAATTGAGTTGAATTTCGCTATTTCGAATTACCATGTTCCCTTGCAGTTTTTTGCAACTCGTATGAACTGATAAATATATACTGATGTGTATTTCCATATTAGATCATGATTTTCATTTTTTTTTTTTTTTTTTATCAAATTTGACTTTAAAACAAATATCACGTCATTGAGAGTACATATTTGAAGTTTTTTTCACTACTCACTGAATATAAAGAATCACCACCATAGCTGCAAGATCTTTCACTTCATGCTACAATCCAATTACATTACGCCATTCTGTTTACATTACCTGCATAGTTCTTTTGACTGATCAATGGAATCAAATTCAAAAACAAAATGACGCCAAATGTTTTAAGACGATATATAAAAGTATGAACGTGGCTTTTTCTACATGTTAAGAGAGGATATGAAAAAAGAGACCAAAGTCATTCCAATTTGAGCTATTAGAAGAATTATCTATTGCTTCATAGACTTGATCGTAAAGTTATCCTTGCTATCTATCGTGATTCCTTTAACCCGTTAACCTAGGTAATGAGACTATATGTCATTCTTGTGCTACAGACGAAAGCTGTAATGTCAACCATTAAGAGCAATGCTGGGCAAAACGTAATTACAACACTGACACATGTTATCCCGATCATTCAATATGTCAACCCTTTAACATTGCCTTACAAACTAAATAAAAGCAAATGAGGCGAAGCACCTTTTTCACCAAGCGCAATTTTGCAATAACTGCACATCAAAATTCTTTCCACATTTTATCTTGTAAAACACCTCATGATACCATTAAATATCGTATCACCTGAACTCTTATCCCATTTAAAAATTAGATAATAGACTGTAGATGAGAGGGAACACCCGGACAACATTCTGACAACATGAAATATCTGCCAAACTGGAATAAAACAATGCTTGTGTTTTTTCCAATTGGTACTATTTTCACTGGTGGTGCTTTGGCTCTTGTTTTATAAAGCATTGATGTTTGTAGCAACCTTAATTCTTTTTGCTTGAAATATGCATTTATAATTTCTATGTAAACGTATCAGTATTTATTTAAAAATTGATTATTTTATTATCCTTTTTTTACAGGTGTAATTCTTGCGATGGACCCCGAAGACGCTTTCAAAGTGCTACAATCTGCTCAACAGTGGACTGGACTGACTCAACATAGCATTTTTCTACTGGTTCGGAATCCGTACGACAATATGTCGGTTATTTCAGCAATCATCAAGCAGGACTTAAACATATCAGATGCTCTTGGAGCTACTTTTCTGATTTTCCCAACGGTGCCAAATGTTATGTTCACAAACGGAAGTGGTGCTACACTTGTTCCGCATGTTCAGACAAAGTCATTTGCAGCAATACAAGATGCGTATATCACAATATTTCAGGGATTTTCCTCTCTTTACAATAGATCCGTTTTAAACATCAACGGATTGACATTATCGTCGGAAATGAAGTTAGTTAATTCTGACCTTTCAGGAAGATCTGTACAATATGCTGTTGGATCATGTGCAAGATACCTCGAGTTTGCTTTATACGACTTCCGGATTTCTGATTCCGATTTTTCTGTGGCACGTCATATATGGCAAGGCTGCGACAGTGCTTGGTGCTTAAAAGTTTTCTCGAACGTAGAATGGCCGAAGGGCGTAGTGTTGCCTGGCGACGAATGCTTCAAACAATCTAATTGTGCCACTACAGAGTCAGGTGAGCTTTGGTTTTATATCTTCCTCAACTGAATTGATGATTTTCGATAGTTTATTAAAAGGGTTGCTTTATTGGTTAGCAAAGCCACAGGGACAGTTTTTGTCTGATAACACCAACAACTGCCGAGAACTTGCTATTGATTGATGTTTTGTAAAGATTTTTCTTTTAATCAAATAACAGTCTGTGGACAAATTAATTAAGTCCGATATGCGGTAAAGCATCTTTACAACAAACATAAATTATGTGAAAACTTTTAAGGGAATTAAAGTTTAGTCTATAAAACAAAATTACAATTACAACTTCTTTTCAGAAACCTCATGTGTTAAAAATCCCTTTTTAAACCTTATTTTACAACGTTTTAATGTCAAATGTACTTGTATCCTATGAAATCACCTGCGATATGGGACCATTTTCTGAAAGGCGTCTCTCAGAACATATAACATTAACATGACATATTATATTTTTGTTTCTGTATACTATACGACTTTTCAAAGGGTACGTTAAATGCGATCTAATGTATACGACAGTGTTACAAAGAAAAACGCATACGTTGTATTTTTCTATTTTTCCCCGTATAAGTCGTTCTATGGCTGGCCATGCTAAATCAATGCATGGGAGCTAGTGCTGAAAAATGACCTGATGGTCTTTTCAGATCCAAAATTAACATCGAATGTCAAAAGTGAAATAGTCCTGTTTCATATCTTTAAAAATCACAGATGATTATCGAGAAGGCCAAAGTCACGCTGCTGATTTAAACGGTTTCAATTATAAATAACAACAAGCAATTTTGTCTGCATGAAACAGTTTGGAATTGAATTACCGTTTAATTATCATAAACTGACGGCAAGCGTTCTGCGATGTAATTTCATGCTGTGGAAGGACAATGTGGCAAAACCTTTTTTATTAACTGCGTATGAGGTTTAATCTCATATAGAAATTCATTCATTCATGCACGCTAACCAAGCTTCTAAAAGGGACAACGAATTACATTGGTTAAAGTAGATTTAAATACAAATATGAGAAAAAATAAATTCTGCAGTCTATTCCTCTTTCTATTATTCAATAGCTCACCATTGATATGCATCTCAGTTACTTTAATAATTTTATTGGCTTTGGTTCTTGTCAAAAGTAATGTTCCTTAAAATGAAACACTGCGAAAGACATTTGAATATAACAAAACAAGAACTTGCCAAAGCAGTGCTAAGGTTAAACCGCTTTGAGACGACATATGTTGTGATGAGGCGGTATATAAGAACCACTAATTATTATTATTATTTAACCGGAGGACACGTCAAATGCATATACTTGTCTGACTCCGCTTTAGTAAGAAGAGTTAGCAAGTATATACATTGACGGATACTGTAAATACACTGTCGTATATACACAGGAGCACTCTTTTACCGCTCTGTGATATATATTTGGCATTAAAACCCAAGAAAATACGTTCTTTAAATATATTTAAGACACCATGTTAATATCATTGAGGATGCCAAAACCACATTTAACGTTGTCCTCAATTGCAACCTAGATTGGTACATTGCATACATTTAAATGAAATCCACATTTCATCAGTAACTATAGACAGAATAATCTGGTATGGTTTGGATTGGTTTGGTTTAGTTTGGTTTGGTTAGGGGCCTACTAAAAGCTTACGTCAACGTATGTAATAAAGAGACTTAACAAACTGTTGCTAAATCAACATATGTATCAAATGTAAAATATTGTTATTTACACCTGTTTTGTATAGCTACTCGCTTTTGCTCTAATTAAGAAAGTCCTGATAACATTTATATATATTTATTTCCCTATATACGAGGACAGAACATGCATAAATAATGTTTTCAATTTCTATTCCTAGCATTAACTATATTACAGTTGAGTGCCGCCATCATGTCTCCATCAAGGCGAAAGAAATAGCAGGGATGCAATAACATTAGTTAGAATGTATTACTTTGGATTCAATAAAAGATCATAATATTTCTGCAGGCTTTACAAAACCTACCTTATACAAAGATTAGTTTTAGGTATTCTTGGTGTTAATTAAAACCTCGGGGAGTAGCTGTACTTTCATTAAGCAAATATATAAAGCATGTCCAGGAAGTAATCTAGCAAATAACACTGTGTGATGACGCAATGAAACCTTGCAGTATCTTCTGTTATTGAATTGCTATCACAAATAATTTATTTTTTATCGATCTTTAAGTCTTAATCCGTTTCCTATCGATTGAAAATTATTTTGCAAAGCATATTCTATACTTGTGTGTTCTTGTTTTATACTAAAACGTTCAAATTCAACGCAAACGAAGTTTATAACCTATTACGAAAGGAAACCTGCGGTATGTTTTTTTTGCAGCGTAAATCTGACATCATCCAAGTATAAATGTAAACAAACACAACTAGTGCTACAAAAGAGGTTTAAAAAGGTGTGTCGTATTCATAGCATATCTAACAAGTGAAAGAAGACACTTACTTGGGAACACAGCCTACTCACGCGATGACATCATGACGCAATTTTGCATACTTGACCTCTGACCTGATAGCATTCACAGCGTTGAAATTACTTACTTACAACATGACCAACATGGACGCCCTGCTACGAAGCTGTATGGTACGCGAGACGGTTTTGATCTTCTGATCGTTAACTTGCCCTTTCCTGAAATCAACATACTTCCCCTCCGTACAGTATTTTCATGAACAGGTTGAAGAAGACTACGGACAAATGTTATGGTCGTTATCGGGATCTCGCATGGAAATATACTACTTCTTTATGTAATATGAAGGTCGTTTTTTTGCTATGCTCATTAAAACTCTTGAGGGTTTATTGTCACTGGTCGAGTTGTTCTCGGTGCAAGGTTTTGACATCACTCGATTTGACTTAGATTTAAATTGCGATTATCATCGATAAAGCAGAAGACGGCTACCCTTCCGGAACACCTGGTCTCATTATCACTGTATTTTTCCGAGGGATTCCATGTTAATCTTTCATAATTTTGACCTATTGTTTTCGATATTTAGTTCAAATTATGGCTTTGTTGACTCTTTGGTATTCTTAATTTTCAGTGATGTTACATTTGTTGAATATTGAATAAAAACAATAAAAAATGTGATTTAAATGGATGAATATACGTTCAGAACATATCACCTTTATGACATTTACATAATTGTATTCTTGAGCGCCTGTCATCGAACAAAAGAATATGAACACGTGACAAGTATGCAGTCTGATATGTATATTTCGATTATGGGTGTGGTCTGTGGACAGGGAAATCTCATAACAGAGTCTGTAAAAATGACAGTTGTTTCAAATCCTGCTTAACGTTCACCAATTTAGGAGTGGGTGAGAAGACTGGTTCGCCCGTTGTCAGTATAATGTGACCGAGTGGGTCGTCCTGCTGGATGTCTTCGGCAGAATGTTTCAGTGAGGTAGCACTATAAAGTCGGCATCAGTTCCGCGCTATCACAAAGAGACAAACACGAACATATCGCAGCCTCCAAAAACACACACGCATACACTACGCGCATGCACCTTGCACACAGGGAAGGCCGTCCTTAAATGACCATAGCTGTTGATAGGACGTTAAACAATACTAAACCAAACTAAACCAATCAGCCCTCGAGTTAGAGTTTGACTTTCCAGCAGTTGGCGAAGGCTTATGCTTAAATCAGCTGAAATCTTTCCATTGGGTTGAGATTCCCCTGTCCACGGACCACACCAATGTACGATTATATCAGTCTTTCACATTTGTAAACACAAGCAATATATCAAAACTTCATAGAGTTTTCTTTTCTAATGAAGTAGACATTTGATTATTTAAAACATTTGGCCATGAGAATGTAGGTCATCTTAAATTGTATTCACAGTTTTGTAACACTCAATGTCGGTGGGATAATGGCTAAATATCATGACTCTAGACCATTCTGTTCCTCTGAAGAAAACCACTGACAGTGTTGAAATATTTGACTTCTTTGACATTGAAGGTTTATTGAAATTGTCTTTTAACAAATTTTGTAGAACTCCTACTCGGTCCTTGTAAATGAGAAGATTTAGTTTAAACAAAAACTGACAGATTTATATCATTTGGCCTTGAAAGTACGGTGGATCATTACTTCTCACAATGTCTACAGTAATTCTTTTTAACACGCCAGTGGCCAAGTATCATGAATATATGGGCATATGTTAAGAGAAGAGCACATTTTAACGTTTTAACATATTTAACATATTTTACCTATTTAACTTGCAAACCATTTTAAAGGTTTAATTTTTGCAATCTATGTAACTTTCGGTGGTCTTACATCATATATCTAAGGTTTACGGTTTATTAAAAGAAGTGGTTTGTAGTTGTTTGATAAAAGCTGGTAAAGGTCATTTGGCATTAATTCAGGGACGCTATAAACGGGACGCTTTAACCAATCTGATCCATATGACATTGAAAAAATATCAAGGTAATAACTTTTAACAAACTGTAGCAAACAAAGACAACAAACTGCTGGTCACATGGAATTCATTTTATTTGTTAACATATATAGCCTATCAAAACTTTCGATTAACAAATCAATCTATAGAATATGGAGGTGAACTCAAAACCGATTACAACGTCATAATGTTTACACCAGGACAGACTTGCATTGTGACACTTCAAATATAATGAGAACAGGAGCAGAAAAGAGTTTTTGCTTCAACTGGGATCTGTATCCTTTCCAGTCTTCGTTTTTATCTACTTTCTGTTTGAAGCGGGGGTCTTCTATGTACCCATACTTATGATTCTGTACGTTAAACCCCAAACTCAGAAACAAACAAACAATTAAATATGAATTAAAGGGATTAATTATTCAAGTATTTAACCCATTGGTATTTTGTCGTACGAAAATTTGTACTTGTGTATGACTTTATCTTTTCTGGTTGTCCTGCAATATCTTGTAAGTCAAAATATAGATCAGTAATTTTTCTACAGGAAACGTATTAAATTCCATGAAATTGGAGCGACAGTGGATAATCATGTATGCCAAATTTGGTCAGTCAATGAAATATACC